CTAGAAACGGGGCGCCTCGGGAGCGTCAAAGAAGCGGGCGGCGGCAAGGTTGGCAGGGACGTCTACACTCATGCGCAACACGTGGCCCAGCAGGCGCCAGCGCTGGCGGGCAACGATCTTGCTCAGCGGGACGCTGTCTCAGCGGTCGTAGAGCGCGACGTCGCCGAGCTTGTTCGGGTAAAAGATACCTAGAAGGCGGCGCAGCTTCCGGCGATGGAAGCTGTCAAGGCCCGCCAGACTCGTTGGCGTCAGGGCCCACGTGCTACAGTTGTACAAAAGGACCGGGAGCACGTAGCACTTGTACAGCCGCACACGGTTGCCTTCCGAGATGAGGCCTCGACGCATCCAGATCTTCCACTTGTTGTTATACGCCGTTGTCGCCAGTCGCTTCCGAGCGCGCAGATCGGCCGCGTCGTCGAGGAGGCTGCCGAGCTTCTTGGTCGTGTGCCACGCTAAAGAGGCCGCGTGCGTCGGCGCGTCAACCTGCGTTGACCTAAATACCTGCGTTTCTTCCGTCTTGTCTTCATTCATCTTGAGGTCCCAACGGGCGAGGACGGACGACGCCGCGGCTTTGATCCTGGACATGGCAGCAGCGTCTTGGCAGATGAAGTCCGAGTCGTCGGCGTAGGCGACCGTGTAGGTGAGTAGGTCACCCGCCTCACTGAGCGTCTGCGCGAGGTCCTTGAGCGCGGCGTCGAGATACACAATGAACAGCGCGTGTGACAACAAGTCGCCTTGTGGCGTGCCGAACCAACTCCCACATGTTATTTTAAATTTAGCAAATCAGCAGCTAGCCTTGATCTTCTCAATGGCACGCAAGATGTTCATGCGGCCGTAGCCAAAGTTGTTGTTCGGGTACTTGTCGCCCGGGAGCCCCCCGCACGTGAGCGGGTCGTTGATGAGAGACTTGGTCTCGACCGTCTGCGTCAAGAGCGAGTAGACTTCGTCGTACGTGATGCCGGGCTTGGCCGACACGAGGAGCGCGATGGCGCCCGTCACGTGAGGCGTCGCCATGCTCGTACCGCTCAAGCTCGAGTACGACGTATCGCTCGTCTTGTAGCTCGAGCGAATGCCTTGGCCGGGCGCCGAGATGTCGGGCTTCATGCGGCCAAACTTGTTCGGGCCCTTGCTGCTGAACGTCGCAAGACCGTCCTTGTTGGTCGTGGCGCCAACACCAATGACGTTGTCGTAGTCGCCGGGGCTGAGCACCGTGCCGCACTTGGGGCCGCTGTTGGCGTTAGCGAAGACAGGGATGATGCCAGCCTTGCGCCACGCAGCCATCGGGCCCTTGTAGTACGGCACGTCCGGGATCTCGTCGTCGTCGCCCCAACTGTTGTTGACGACGTGGGGTGCGAGGTCGCACCGCGGGTTCTTCCCTTCGGCGTCGTGAGGGCAGAGCATGAACTGCGCACAAGCGACAAGCACGGACTCGGGGCACTTGTTGGTAGGCAAGCATCCCTGGCACGAGATCCACTTGGCATCGGGCGCCACACCAATGCCGTTACCTCCGACAGACGTGCCCATCGTGTGCGTGCCATGACCATGAGGATCCACAGGCGTTGGCGATCGCCCCTCGGGTTGGAACCAGCCGTTAAGGCTGCGGAAGTTGCCCTTCAGCGCTTCGTGGGTGACGCGGGTGCCAGAGTCAATGGACCCGACGACGACGCCCTGTCCACGGTAGCCCTTGGCCCACACCTCAGGCGCCTGGATAATGTTGAGGCCCCATTCCGTGGTGTTGGCAGCAACGACTTCGGACGCTGCGATCTCTGAGGTGATGAGGCGGCCCATGGCTTCGGGGCGCACGAAGGCAACCTCGGGCAGCTTCGCGAGCGCTTGAATGACGTCGCGCGTGACGCCCTTGGCATACACAACGTTGTTGATCCAGAACGACGAGTGCTCCAAGGGTTTCGACGACTCTAATTTAGAGCTCGCGAGGAGCTCTAGCGCACTGGCTTGAACCGACGTTGCATGGTCTTCAAGCGCCGACTTGACAGCCTCTACGAGCTCTGCACGCGACTCGATGGACGCCGACTCCAACTTGGGACTGACGAGCACCTCGTCGGCCGTCCCCTTGAACTCGATCGCGATCGTAATGCCGTCGATGGTCTCGGCTTCGAGCTTCTGGAGAAGCTTGGGGTGGATCTTGGTGTTATCAGCGACGACGACACCGACGATGGCCGCAAGAGCGAGAGCGCGGGATAGATGGACCATGGGACTTTTGGTGAATAGCGCCAAAGAAATAATGATGAGGGTCTCACCGCAAGAGGCTGAGGCACTTTAGCCAAAACATGTACGAATACAGTGTACACAGCGACTCGGGCCTACCAGAATGTTCTCAGATCCACGCGGTGCGCGCTTCTCAAATACCACTCTGAAAGGGGTACGGCAGAGCTTACGGCAGACGACCTGCTGAGCACTGCACTATTATAGCACTAAAATCACCATTGTTTAAAGGTTGGACAGCGATTGGCAAACCGCTGTATATACGATTAACATTTATCGCACGCACTGCTGGCATGCACTTGGACGGGCTGTGTCATTTTGGAGGAAGGCGCGCGCTTACGTGATGAGGACGCGACTGACATATGGTTTGGTTCCAGATGACAGATTGAACCGTGCAACTCAGATTACATTGCAGTCCAAGGAAATCTGAGTTGCCCGAGCGGCACGGTACATGAGGTCGGTCACTCAGCACGACAGGCTATTGCCATTTCACAAGTACTTCACCGTCAGCATTGACAAACTACGTACGTTTTTCCAATAAAAACCCCTTTCCAAATAAACATGCCCAGACTAGGGTGAACCCCGCGTTTTCTTGGGGCAGGAGCTCTTTGGTTTTGCATTGGAGTAGCGTGCAATCTAGCGGTGGGTTCGTGTCGTAGCTTGGACTGTGTGGACGCCATCAAATTGTCGGTGTATAGAATCATGTGCATTTGCGTTCTACGTTCAACGTACCCTGCCCCACACCTCGCGCTTTTTGCGGCAGAGTGTGGTCGAGCTTTGCGGTTTAGATGGGGCGCAGAGCCGGTCATCAAGCGGTCTTTCTGCGTCGCATGCACAGTAGTTTTGTTTGTGTAGAAGGTTTGTGCAGGGTGCAGTGAAACCTTTTGATTTCGGTTTAGTATCGGGGCAGCGTGCAATCTAGCGGTGCGTCGGTGTCGTAGCATGGACTGTGTGGATGCCAACAATCGTTGGTGTTCGGTTTCATGTCCAATGTACGTACGTTCAGCACACCCTGCCCAATGCAGACACGCATTCACATGGCAAATGTGTGATGGGCGTGCGCCGAACGCGATCTCCGCTTTACTGCGGTGCGCCGTTTTGCACCGCCACCGGCCTTCGGCCGGGAACCACACTGCGGTGCAACCTCCGATGCGCTACGGTGCACCTGGTGGGTTCGTCCGAAAGATTGATCTCTATAGTGCTGCAGCGGCGTCGACGTCAAATATTCTTTTCTTGGGTGGCGGTGAGGCTGGTGCAGCGTCCCGATCCCGCCAAGTTGTGGTCTGTTAGCCTTCATATTGTTTCAGCAATCGGGTCCAATGCTGCATAGCAGGACGCATCTTGCATAGAGGCCACCACAGTTTGCCGCAGCATCACGCAAAGATCAACATTGCAGGGCGATGGCGTCAAATCAATTATGTACTCGGATTCCCCGGCCAGCAATTCTACCCGTGTCGTGACGCAGTGCCATGATTTTGTCGCTCAGTTGCAGGGCGCTGTACACGCGCACTTCTTCAGAAAGTGCAGCCGCATCGACCTTGCGTTGTTACCATCGCCCGCGATGATCGTTCTCTTCTGCTCCTTGGCTTCTTTGATCCCAGTCGCAGATGCCACAGCGCTCGCAGCTTGGTGCTCCCGACACTCGATTCCCACAATGGCCGGATCTTCTGCTCTGTGCTTTGCGCACGAATTGAAATTCACAGTTAATACCGACTGCACTATCGCGCACATAATACTCCCGGACTCGCACATGGAATATGCCCCTACCACGACTCATCACCATAACCACCGTCATCAACCACTTCTCTGCGCCGCGCCACCACATCGTAGCCGAGCGCGCGCACAATTTCCTACCGCGCAACCGTGCACTATCGCAGGTGCACACGCTACACTCGAGTTTGGCGTGCATCGATACCACAAGCACTCGCTGCGCTTGCATATAGCATGAGCACCTACCGCGCTACCGCGCGGAAACCGGCTATCGCCGGATGCTTTCGCTTAGCTCGTGGCGCGCGGATCAAGTCCCATTAAGTGCCATACATGTATGACGTTGCCACAAACACAGATGCCATATGACCCTACCGCGCTACCGCACGGACTCCAGCTATCGCTGAATGCACTCGCTACGCTCGTGGGTTGCGCTACTAGTATCGCGCACGACCCGGCTGCGCCGGGTGCACTCGCTTCGCTCGTGGCGCGCTCCGCGCGGCTAAGTCCGGTTATGACCACTGAAGTACGCATGTGGCGTTTTTATACAAACGTCAAGTCAAATGAGCGTAACTTCAAAAGGCCAGACGTACTTCACCCAATTAATAGATAGATAGATGGTGAATAAATCTCTTGGAAAGTACATGTACCTCGCTCCCCGAGCCGTCTCCAACTACCACCTCCGCACTCCCGCCTTTACATACCGCAGGCATTC